GTGCCGTCAGCCCATTTAGTCTTGTCTTCCCTCTGCTCCATGTTCGGTCGTCGTCTTCCTTGCACCTCCATGTTTGTCCCTGTTGGTTTTTGATCCGGATGTTCCTCGGGCGCCGCCAGGGATTTTGGGCCCCATGAAAAGATAATCACATTGGTTACTAAACATTTTTTTCTTAATGTTCTAAAATTGTTTGGGCCCCTGTCAGTCACAGGCCCTTAGAATCGTCCTAACTTTTCACCCCTTTACGGCCCCCCCCTTCTCCTCATTCTGCATTTGGGTCCTGATTTTCCCCAACCCTGACAATATTGTACTTTAGTAAAAGTAGAAGTACTCAGATATTTTACTAAAAGTACTCGGATCTTGTACTTGAGTAAAAGTAGAAGTACTCAGATCTTGTACTTGAGTAAAAGTAGAAGTACTCAGATCTTGTACTTGAGTAAAAGTAGAAGTACTCAGATCTTGTACTTGAGTAAAAGTAGAAGTACTCAGATCTGCACAACGAATTTTTGCCTCAGAGTCTGTGGCCAATCCCAGGCCATTTTGTCCTCATGCGCCAATGAGCAGCTCCCATAAGAACAAGCCCCGCCTCTGACGCTGTATCCATTTCCTATTATACATAAATAGTTTTGACTCCTGCAAGCATGAACCAAATAACATATGGTCTTGAAAGCTGCTCAGCTGGACAATATTTTAACTTAATTATCATTTTGATTCCCTGATCATATGTCTGTGCTTTTTATTCCTCATGGATCTCTCCGTGCTTGCCTTCGCATTTCCACTCCTGACTTTTTTTCGTTTTAGTTTGGTCTTCGCAGAGGAGCATAATGAAGGTAAACTAATGTTTTTCGCTATTTCTTTTTTTACTTTAAACAACACTATTGCAGTTTTTGAACAAACAAGTCACATGGGGCAGGGCACAAACAAGTGTGTTTGAACTTGTTTAGATTTCAATATAATGTCTATCCAACGAGGGGTGAGTCGCTACTTCTAACTATCGGAGCCACCTGACGCGCGACACCAAAACAGACACATATGGACATAGGGCACCTTATCAAAAGTGTTCTTTTAAATATTGAAGTTAAAAGCATCAATCTGGTGCACTTTGAGAGCAAAATGAAGAGATCTATGGATACATCTCTCAACACCCATATGAAACAGAACTGGAAGCAGATTTTCTTTTTCTTAATGCATATTTTACAAATCTGACTTCCTGATTTGCATGTCCTCCTGATTTACACTGCGCAAGCGCGAGTTGGACAGCTATGTCCGGCAACGAAAAGTAGGACGACATTTGACACAGCAGCGTTTTGCAAAGAAGAAAAAAAAACACATTAATCTGAACGAGAGAGATGAGTTATTGTTTTTACAACGTAATCTCCCGATTATTTGAGAAGAAATCATTTTAGTGGGTTAAGTACATTGTCAGAATAAGTGAGAAAATGATATAACTTCAGATTGACAGCCTTCACACTGGAGAAATAAGAAACTGTAAATGTGTGCAATCATGTATGGCATTCATAATGAATGTCTAAATGCAAGGTTTTCATCTATTTAATATTAGAAATGTTTTAGGCTGGCCAAACTTTTTCTGTTGAGATTCCTGAAAGAGGGAAATGACACAAAATAATTTCATTGAAAAAGTTGATTTTTGATCAAGAACAAAACTCTGTTATAAAGTGTTTTTCACACTTTTTTCACTTTTTGAAATTCCAAAGCTGGTAAAGACCTTTCAGATTTAGCAATAATTGTCATGAAATCAAAATACTGAACTTATAACTGAGTTTTGTTATTCAATCAACTTTTTGAATGAAAAATATTTTATGTAATTTCCCTCTTTCAGGAATCTCAACATAAAAAGTTTGGCCAGAGTAATACTTTAGTTTGAATACATTTACAGTTTATTATTTCTCCAGTATGATAGCATGTCAAAGAGAAGCTAAATCCATTTCTCACTTACTCTAAGAATGTACTTAACCCACCAAAAGGATTTCTTGTCAAATAATCAGGAAATTACCTCATAATTAACTAATCTCTCTCGTTCTGATTAATGTGGTCATGTTTTTTTCTTTTTCTTTGTGAAACGTCGCAGTGTCAAATGTCCTACTTGGTTTGCCATACGTAGCTGTCCAATAATGGCTTGCGCAGTGCAAATCAGGTAGTCACACCTGTATTTTCACAGGTCGGCCTCAGTTGATTGGTTCCTCTGAGCCAATCAGTGCTCCTCTGGGTGGTGATGTCCTCCTGCCGTGTGTAGTGCAGCCTGAGATCAACATGGAGAATCTGACGGTGATGTGGTGGAGGCCCGATATCCCTGTTGACCCAAACAGGTACTGTGGCGGCTAGATTACCATTCAATTACGCTTCGTTATGACGTGTATAAATACTAAAAGTCTGTACTAAGGATAAAGTTTCAGGATATTTAATAAAGCAAATAAACCAACAACAACCAAACAGAAGCATCCAGTCAACCACAGATCTCAGAGCTCCCCCCATTTTCATCCTACAGGTACGTTCACCTGCACCATGAAAACCAGCATCAGGAGGACCTGACGATGCCGTCGTACGTTGGGAGGACGGAGATGTTCGCAGACGGCCTGAAACGCGGGAACCTTTCCCTCCAGATCAGAAACCTGAAGCTCTCTGATGGCGGGACATACAGATGTATCATCCCAATGCTGGGGATTGCCTCCACCATAATGCTGGTAGTCTTTGGTACGTTTGTGTTTTTACAAATATAAAATCTATTACGTCATCATTCGTGTTTTTGGTCGATTAAAAGATGCGAACTTGTCCACATTCTTCAAGCCCTTCCACACCGTGTAGAAAATGTGTTATCCAGCATGGTTTGTACACATGTTTAATGATAATTCATTATAAAGAACAACAAGGCTAAAGATCACTACAACTGTTGCTTTTTCAGAACCAATCTCTGATGACACTTTGACGACCACACAGTTTCAGGGAAATCTCCAAACTCCAGATCCAAAACAAGAGACTGAGGTCAAAGGTAAGAAGGAGAGAACAAAGTGAAGAGTTTCAGCTTTTTGAGTTTATTTAAGACGGTCTGTTGTGCTGCAGTTACTGAAGACGTTGTCTCTTTGGGTTTTAGTTGGTCGGCACAATTGGAGGTCGTGGTCGTGGTTCTGTCAATCTGCGCCTTGTTGGTCCTGGCTGTTGTATTTGGTGGATGTTTCCTGAAACACAAGTGTCAGAGACCACATGTAAGTCAGAAGGAAACATGTGTTGTTGCTTCTTGAGTGTATTCTGACTGAACGTCTCTAGAGGGAGACAGTTTAATAATTATTATTTACATTTCTCTTTTCCCTCCAGCCGCCGGACTGCAGCGTCCCAGAAACCAAACCACCTCTTTCCCCCCCTGCTCAATATGTGGGGATAAGAGCATCAGATGTGGGATACAGACCTGCAGCACGTCAGGACACAAGTGGACCGACCGGGGAAACAACATCTTGAAACGCAAAGCATTACTGAAAGGACCCGTGTCGACTTTATCTTTTTCTACTTGTTCCAGATGAGGGCCGAGCGTATTGGGCCAATAACACGTCTTTACCTGGCTCCAAAATGGTGGGTTGAGCTCCTCTTCAATATCAGGACAGCAGAAAGTAGCCCAAAACAAAAACAACTGGCACAAACAGATAGTGAAAACAAAGCGGCAATGCTATAGGAGTAACGGTACGTCCACACCGCAGCGTTGCGTGCTTCAACGGAGACGCGTCCCATTCACTTTGAATGGGGTGACGTCACGCGTTGCCGAACTGCATTGTGGTTCCGTTGCTCGCTTAAAAGTTGAGAAAAGTTCAACTTTTCAAGCGTCGACAGAAGCGCCAGCCAATCAAATCATATGCCAGTACAAGCTCTAGCCAATCAAACCGTGTGCTTGCGTGTCCGGGGCGGGAGATTAATGTGATTGGTTGTTGGTCACACGCCCACCGGCAAGCTTCAACGCGACGGAACCGTGTACTCTTGGACTCATTTTGTTTTCTTTGTACCGTTTCTGATTTTATGTAAAGCGTCTTTGGGCGTTAGGAAAAGCGCTATCAAAGTCCAATGTATTATTATTATTATTGTACTTATTGTTATCAGAGTCAATATAGCGTGTGTGTGCATTACGGTCTTTAATACCCCACAGATTGATCACTAAAAAGTAACTAACTCACGGGGATCTACCAGCACTCGAAAGATGTTCGTCTCTATCTCACTAACGGGATCAAACTAGCCGTTACTTGAATTCAGGGACGCGGGAAGGGGGGGTGCTGAGGGGGCTGCAGCACCCCCATCTGTTGGCGGAGAGTTGTAACTGCAACGCCAAAACGTTCACTTAACAAATCAATTCAAAAGTTTTATTTTGAGTTACTATTTTTGAGTTAGCATTTTAGTGTAAGCAGTCTATACATAATATAGATAATGCAGTGTGCTTCTTCTGTTGCTCTGCTATAGAAAAGAAGCTTGTCAGTGCGGACAAGATCAGGGATGGGAGTTTTGTGAAAGGAGGATTTAAGAACTGGCGAAAGGAAGGGGAAACATTTAGGGAACATGAGAAGTCCCATCAACACACAGGCCGTCGACAAACTGGCAGCATTAAAACGAACACTGATGAATGCAGTGCTCTCAAAAGCTGTTGCTAAAGACCAAATGACTGCACTTAATATGACGTTATTATACAGGACCAAAGGCCCTAAATTTTTTTTCTGTAGCCCCGGACAATTCTCCCTCAATAATATAATGCATTAACCGTGCTTTATGTAAGCAAAGCATAAATTAC